GGGGGGGGGGGGGGGGGGGGGGGGGGGGGGGCGGCTTAGAGGGGTGGGAGAGGAAGCAGGATGGCCTAAGAGACATCTTAAGAAGAGTCCTAAACGGCAGAGCGGTTGCTGATGAGAAGGGCCGAGAGGCGAGAGGGTTGGAAAAAGTGGCGAAAGATTTTGGAATTTGCTCGCCGTAAAGATGTGGAATGCGCTTCATGAAGCAGCTAAGATGAGAAAAAAATTCAGAGCGGAAGACTGTGAGTCGCCGGGAGCTGTGATGGGGCAGCTGTGCAATTCGGAAAAAGTAGAGCGTGAGTTGCGGGCTTGGATAGCCCATCGGAAAAAAGAACGGAGTGCGTTAAAGGGAGGAGGAAATGAAAGAGAGGGGCGACCTTTTCGTTTATGGGCTAAAGAGAGTGCAAAGGAAACACAGGAAGAGTAGCCCATGAGAGGCATGATAAGGCGCGTGAAGAACAGACGTTGGCATTGGAAACCCAAGTGTCAGAAAGCGCTTGGAGTAGCTCGGCAACTGGTGAACATAAAAGAGAAAATATACCTATCAGTGGAACTGAAAGGGGTAAGAGGAGGAGGATGACGAGCCGGAGCGCATGCGGCCGTGTCAAGCCGACAGAAAAAGTAAAAATAGTGGGTGTGAGTCGAGATGAAATCGACTAAGGAAATAGGAACAAGTCGAAACACGAGTCGAAACAAATGTGACTGCCCAAAGTGGAACGAGACAGAATAGTGAATGCGGCCGAAAGTAAAACAGACTGCGCAGAGTGTAAGGATAAAGAGTGCGAATCTTAGCCAACTTCAGTACAGTTCCGTCGGTGACTTACCACTGTGTAGAGATACAAGCAGCAGTTTGAATTGAATACGTTCAATATTACAAGTAGCGCTGTGGATACAGTCGCAGCTCTGGAAAAGCACTTGAGAAAAGGAAAGAGAAGTGCAATGAATTTTGATGATTTTATTGAAGAATTTAAACTGCGATATGAATATGAAACAGATTGGACGAAAATCCGTTACTTGCATTCCTATGTAACAGGCCTCGCTTTGCATGCGTTTCTGGGGATGCCACCCATGTGCGGGAAAAAGGCACATTCGAGGAGGTAGATTCATCGAGGATCACTCACTTTGGGTTGCAGAATAATTCAAGCAAAGTGAAATGGAGAAAAGGGGAACCGCTGGTTGCGTATATCGGCCGGAAAGTCGCAACAGCTTATCCTGGTGCGGTTTATGGCGATCCGTATTTCATGAACGAGAATTATGGGTTCTGCGAATAGATGAAGAATTTGTCATAAGAGTGATTATTGCGGTGTTACAGGCGAAGGATGGAGAAATGTGTAGGGTCTTGGAAGCAGCATTGAACGGCCAGGAAGAATGTGAGAAAGATGTCCTCGTGCAGAAGGTACCTCGGACATCTGCAGGTTCGGGGCGAAGTAGCCCAAGGAAAATTTCATGGATACTAAAAAGTTGTAGCAAAAGACTATGGAGGTTGAAGAGCGAGTGCAAAAGAGAAGGAAAATGTGTGGAAGTAACGTGATCCGGGCAAGGGACGATAATTTACAACTGGGTTTGCGAAAAGAGGACGTGATTTGTTTTGTATGAAAAGGCAGGGGCCACGTGACAAAAGTTTTGTCCAGCGACAACGTTTGCCATTTGTCAGCAGGTAAAGGAAGGGAAGCTGCACGCTGTAAGACGAGGGTGCAGGCTTTTAAAGTGCTGGAATTAACTAAGAGGAAGTGTATACTGGGAAGGACTAAGCGGCGGCGGACATACAACAAGCATCGAAAAGACAAGCGTTTTTTCGCCGAGCAGCGATAAGAAAATATTCATGGAAGTATTTTTAAAGTGTTTTGTTGGTAGAAATGCAGTTTTTCATACAAATTGTTTATCATCGTTTAGTGTCTTCTCAACGTATGCATTATGATGATTTTATCAACTTAGTAGTTTGATCACCGAAAAGTGATATTTTTGAATTGAGTGCACCTATATAAGCATTGTACTGTGTATTGTTATAATCGATATCGCGTAGTGGGGACGACCCGCAGCGCGGGAAGAATCTCAAATGAAGCACTGGATGATAAGCCGCGAAGAGCTGAAGTGAAAAAACAGGTTGTAAGAAGTTGAAAGGAAGCATTAAAAAGAGAGAACTATGAAGGGGATGAAACGTGACTTTAGAAAGGGAAAGTGCTAGTTATTGAAGATGGTGTCCGAAGGAAGACTCGAGTTATGAAAGAGCCTTCGTACTGAAAAAGGACCTTGAGTTTGTGGAGCCAAACGGGCTCCACAAACTCAGGGTTCGTCTAAAGTTTCAAATTCAGTTTCACGTGCCAGTGCGTGAAATTTTTAGTGGGAAATTCTGTAGCATAGAAAACAAACAACATTCCAGCTATTTTTGCACAGTCCAAAGTACAAAGCAATGGAAATCTTTAGCAGGCAAGCATTCGCTGGACAGAACCGCAGAAAGCGC